TTTCTAGTATGATTTTATATAGGAGATTTCTTCTAACGTTCCCGTTATTTCTTTCTCCACTTTCATAATATAAACGAAATGACAAAGTTATCCTTTATTAAAAAATTTGCACCATTGTTAACTTTCAAACTTATATAACATGTAAATCGGTATTATAGATTATACAATTTAGAACGTAAATTTGTATAATGGATTATACAATCTGAAATATAACTTTGTATTATGGATTACATTCTGAATTTTTCTTTCCAAATTTGTATCACTAAATATAATCTAAAATATAAATTTGTATTATAAATTGTACAATCTAAAATATAATTTGCATTTTAAATTGTCTTACAAATTTATATTATGAATTGTTTAATTTAAAATATAAAATTTTATCATAAATTATACAATCTAAAATGTAATTTGTATTTTAAATTGTCTTTCAAATTTATATTCTCAACAGTATAATTTAAAATATAAATTTATGTTATGAATTATACCATACGAAATATAATATTTATTTCAAATTGTCTTCCAAATTTATATTACAAATTGTACAATCTTAACAGATTCAACAATTAGGAATATAAATTCACAATACGAATTGTTTAATTTGAAATATTCATGTATTGTATAATCCAAAATATCTTATTCTGCATAAATATAAATGGAATTTTATAAAGTATTGGGATGCAGGAAGAACATATGAGGGTGGAGTAGGAAATTCGTGGAATATATTGTAAATGAAAGATTAAATCATGGATATTCAAATATGGGTTGGGCTCTGCATCCAGCTTCTCTTGGGCTAGAGTCTTGGATTGGGTTTAAAACAAATGCAACCAGTTTTGGATGAAAAATTTGCAAAAACAAAAATTTGTTGCCGATTTAAAAACAGAAATAATTTTTTTTGTACATGAGAAGTGAAAAAAAATAAAATTAATCATTATAGTAGCAGGAAAAGTTCTATTTGCTGCCACTAAAAGTCTACAATATATATGACGAATGATGAAATAATTATGTTATAATTATTTTGTATCATCATCTTTCATTTTCTTTTAGTGTAACAATTAAAATATGATATATTCAATGAAATCGTTAGATAAAATACATTATGCAAATAGATAATAATATTTTTAATCTACTTTTAACTTAATCATCTTTTTTTTTCTTCGTAACATCATCTTTCACTTTGAGCTAGTTATTAAATATAAATAACTTTGTTGGAACCTTTAAATTAAAAAAATAAAAATAAGACTTAGAATAAGAATACCACTCTTAGTTACATCTAAAAGAACTTGTAAAATGCATATGTTGTATTAGATAAGATCAATTAAGGTACAAATGAATTAAATAAGTCAAGTTGAAACTTAATAATATTCAACTATTCAAACTTAGAATTTTTTTTCCACATAAAATTTTTTAAATAAATAATCCAAACAAACTCATTTCTTTTTTTATTCTTAAATTATCGTTTATTTGTCGTGTTAACAATTTAGGTTATGAAGAATCAAATTTTAGACTATTTTTAAAAATTGTTAATAAAAAAGATAAGATGAGAGAAGTGAATCCGATAATATTATTCATCAATACAAATTCGACTATCCAAAGATTGAATTCTTAATGTGTAAGTAGTAAATAAGTGAAGTTAAATAAAAAAATTGTGGGGAGTTTATTTGGAAATTTATAAAAAAAAGTTTAATTTGAAAAAAAAAACTTGAAACCTAATTTTTTGAATCAAAGAAAAAAAATTATTTAAAGAAATTGATTTAGTTGACTGATGAACACACCTACTTCCGATGTTGGAGATTCCATGCAATCTTAGTATAATAGAAAATTGACGCAGTTTAACATTGTTATTAGCAAACTTTTGCATTGAAAGTCAAAATCCTCTCACACGTCTTTTTCATCAGACTAGCAGTAGCAAATGTGGATTGTGCCCACCTGTTGCCCTTACCATGTGCTTCACTGCTTTTACTGCTTCTATGGTGACTTTAATTAAAGCTTTAACAGATACAAAATTAAAATTAAAATAAAAAATAATGCCATTTTTTAATCATTTTCTTCAGCTTGTTGAGTTTGACTAATCCCTCTTCCACCCAATGAATATCTTCACTATTCTTAATATGATAACTTTGTACGTAGACAAGTCATAGATCGATGAAGAGTGATTATTTGAACTCCCAAATCAATGTAGTTAGGTAAATTCAATATTATGTGGTTTTAGTGATGATTGATGAAGTTGTTAAATACGTTTAAATGGTAATGGATTTTGCTAATAATAGTGATTTTGTGGAAGTGGAGAATTTGGTTATTTTAAAATAGAGCATGGTGATAACAATTTCACATTTATTTATTGAATAGCCCATCACCATAGAGCAAGGACTTTAAGATGATTTACAACTTAATTAGTGTGAGTTATCAACTTTATAATATTTACTGGAGAAAAATAAACACTATATGTTTTCTTAATTAACTGCAAGTAAGATATATCAAATTATATACTGGATCGTGTATTTTATTATTTTTCTTTAAATTCTAACTTTGCTGCTGGAGCATTTTTTTTAATTGAATTGACCAAGATTTAGAATAGAATAAATTCAATAATTTAATCATATTTTAGTTAGAGTTGAGTTTATAAATTCTTTTTAATTAGTCAATTTAGATCAAATCAACTCAGGCGGGTTAGTCATTAGGTTGTAAAAAGAACATTATATTTTTTCAAAATTAATCTCTGCTTAATTTAATTATATATTTTTTAAATATTGAAGTATTCTTAGTTTTATATTAAAACAATTTTAAAATACTTATTATTCTTTCAAGACTAACTGTTTCGTATTTACATTTCTACACATTTGCCATTCTTCATTTCATTAATTTCTTTACTGGAATTATGGTAAAGAAAATACATAATAACTTGAGAAAATTAAAGAAAAAAACACTTACCATTAGATAAGGTCATAAGAAGAACAAAAGAAGAGACAAATGTAGAAAAAATAAATAAATAATATAGTACAAAATGTATTGTTCTAAAAACTATAGAATATATAGCTACCAAATAATTAAACTGATAAAAGTTACAGAAATTCAAAAATCATATAATTATAATTATTTTATTTAAAAAAAAAATAAAATATATATATATATATATATATATATATATATATATATATATATATATGACAGTTCGTTAGTGTGACATCCCAAATATATAATAACAACAATCATATAATATCGGCGTCAACATCCAAATAAAGAGAACAATTAGAGTACGACTTGCAATTAAGTACGGAATTACAGTCGCATTTTAAAACTTAAACAGTTTAGAGTATTCAACACTTCAAGCGTTCAAATAGGAAATTCCTAAGTAGATTGCACTGCAACATCAGTGTCCACTAGTTCTTGCTCGAATGGTATCTCCTCAACAATTTCTGCTCCCATCCAAGTGGATGATCATCGCAACAGAAAACATACAAAAGCAACACACAACAAAGAAGCAAGGGTGAGCTAGATAAACAAGCAATAATCATATAGTACAATCAATCGATGTCATCATGCTTAGTTACATATAAAAGAACAATTAAAGCATACCCTTTGAACCATGACTCAACCACTCACACGACTCATCCGGATTGTTATAATTGTCGAACTATTGGTCGTCTTTGCACTTGCATAGTTCAGCTGGCACTCCCCAACACTATGCAAGGTAAATCCCCCATTTGTCTATGTCTAAACTCTAAGACTATAGACGAGGACCTCCCTCTACTCTCACCACTTACACTGCTCTCCTCTATTTGAGCATGAACAGTGCTTCGAGTGTAAGGATAGAGATACTAGTTCAAAGCTCCATACAGTTATACAGAACAACAACAACACCCCACACATCACTTTCAATCATCTCACCCTAAGATGTCCAGTTCACACTCAATTTCATCATTTCAATTTGCAGTCACATTATTTCAAGCCACACAATTCAAATATATGGACATACATACATCCTGGCAGTCAAACAACATCAAACAGCTCAAACAGATGTGGAAAAATATGAAACTCACTGAACCAGGTCTCACAACGCATCAAGATGCAAGGAAAGACAGCAAAAATTCGCACAACGCACCTCCCTTGGTGCGCTGAGCGAATTTTCCTGACGAGGGGAGTGTTTTTTAGCTAAAATTTGCAAGTGCACCCCCCCTTGATGCGCTGGGCGAATTTTTCTGACAAGAGGACAGCTAAAATTCACATAGCGCACCCTAGTTCGCATAGCGAATTAAGTCGCAACATACATTACTTCAAACCTCTCGCATAGCGCACCTAGGTCGCTATGCGAGAACCCAAACAGAGACCAACCTCCCCAAAGCTCTCGCGCACCCCACTCGCTCTTCGAATTAAATGGGCAGTGATCCCAGACCACCACTAGTCGCATAGCAACAGGATTCGCCATGGCGAGTCCATAAACAGTGAGCATCACCCTCTAGTAATTCGTACAGCGCACCAACTCGCACATCGAATTACCAAGACAGTGAGCACCCTCTACAGGGTCTTGCTATGCGAGACAACTCGCATAGCGACACTGCATAATCTGCAGAACGTGAATTCTGTAGAATCACACACTCACACTAATCCTTACCATTTTCAGTTATTTTCCCCAACTTCTAACCCTTCTTATTCTTGTATCACACCTAATTAAACTTGTTTAGATGATTATAAACGTTCTTAGTATGATTCTAAAGTGATTACTACCAAGTTTTCAACTTAAATTTCCAAGTTCATTAACCCAAGGACCCAATTTTGATTCTACCATTTTAAACATGACTTTACTCAGTTTTATGACCCTAACCTGTTCTAATTTACTCATACAAGCTAGCCACACTGTCCAATTGCACTCAAGACCACCTATGCTCAAACTCCCTACCTCAGTTCCTCTCAAAGGACCAAAAACAATACTCTCTTAACCTTTTACTCATCTAACGTGACTAACACAGGATTTCCACCTCAACCACATCTCCCTAACCCAATTAGTTCATGTGATTGGCAGATAGCCAATCCATTTCCAAGATCACCTCTAACCCCTTCAAAGGTAAATAAATGAGGTTTACCTTGAACCGACGTCCCTTTACGACGATCGGACAACGGACACACATAGAAGACGTACTGACTAACCCTGATGCTGGTGTAGACACCACCAGATCAACCTCTAACTCTTCTACAGACATACCCAATTTCTCAACACATGCCTCCGGTATGAAGGAGTGTGTTGCCCCCGAATCAAATAGCACCACACAAGGCACACCAAGAAGCAAACAGCCACCGATGATGAGGTTACCTGAGCTGACTGCCTCTGATCCTGTCATGGCGTATACTCTGCCCACTGCCTGAGGTCTACCACCTCCCCTGGGTGGAGGCAAACGAGTCCTATGCGCTTGAGGCCCTGATCCTGCTGTAGAGGTACACTCAGCAGCAATGTGTCCCTCTTTTCCGCACTTGAAGCACTTCCTTGTGCCAGCTGCCAGAGGGCAGTTGTTCTGGTAATGAGGTCCTCCACAACCAAAACATCTAACGGTGCCATATGACCTGACTGGTCTTATCTGCACTGATGGCTGAGAGGATGAACCCCTAGACCCAAAAGAAAGGGATGGTCTAGTGTAAGGGGTCTTCCTAGTGCTAAGTTCACCACGAGACCCAGATGATCCCCCACTCCTAGCAGGCTGACTCTGTTGTCCCTCATATTCCCTCTTCGTCTTTTCTAGATCACGGACCATCTCCACTAGAGCAGGAAACTCTCTGATGCGTAACCCCTTTACAAGCAGCTTGATATCACTCCTCAAGCCATTTTCAAATTTTCTGCATTGTCATTCTTCATCCACCGCCATAGTGTTGAAGCGAAGTAGATGTTTAAAGCGATCTGCATACTCTGACACTGATCTGTTGCCCTGTACCAGCTCCAGGAATTCTACTTCTTTAGCAAACCTCACACTGTCTGGGAAGTACTCAGTGTAGAATTTGACCCTGAATAACTCCCAGGTGATAGGAGTTTCGCTCCTTCCAAGGATCATCTTCATGCTGCTCCACCAATGGCCAGCTTCCCCGGTCAGCAAATATTGAGTATAGGCTAATTTCCTATCATCAGCACATCCCTTAGCTTCATAAATCCTCTCCATGTCTCTAAACCAGTGGTCGGCTTCATCAGGGCTACATTTCCTAGTGAATCATGCTGGGTGATGTTGGAGGAAATTTTCCAAACTCCATTCTTGTACCGGCATAGCGGAGGGGGAAGCACCTGGAGTGGCCCTGCCACTAGTCAACACTTCCATGAACTGCCTTTGAGTGTTCTCATATGACACTCTAGCATTCTCAGTCGATATCCTAGCAGCTTCCAGGTTTTTTAGTACAATGGTGTTCTGCTGCACCAAAGCAGCATTTTGTTGTTGTAATGCTTGAAGCATCGTATTCAGCATCTGGTTAAAGTCAAATGGGTCGACCTGTGGGGGAGGAGGAGGAGGAAGCCTAGGTGCCATCTTCTTTTCACATAGGGAGGAAAGACCATCAGTCCAACTCAAACAAAATAGAACACCCAACTTGAACATGATTAAGAGTACACAAGCATAAGCGAGGCACACACATACCCTAAAAGATTTCCTAAGGACAGAAATTGCTCTGATACCATAAATGTGGCATCCCAAATATATAATAACAACAATAATATAATATAGGCGTCAACATCCAAATAAAGAGAACAGTTAGAGTATGACTTGCAATTAAGTACGAAATTACAGTCATCCAAAAGAAGACAGATTTTAAAACTTAAACAGTTTAGAGTATTCAACACTTCAAGCGTTCAAATAGGAAACTCCTAAGTCCACTGCACTGCAACATCAGTGTCCTCTAGTTCTTGCTCTAATGGTATCTCCTCAACACTTTATGCTCCCATCCAAGTGGATGATCATCGCAACAGAAAACATACAAAAGCAACACACAACAAAGAAGCAAGGGTGAGCTAGATAAACAAGCAATAATCATATAGTACAACCAATCGATGTTATCATGCTTAGTTACATATAAAAGAACAATTAAAGCATACCCTTTGAACCATGACTCAACCACTCACACGACTCATCCGGATTGTTATAATTGTCGAACTATTGGTCGTCTTTGCACTTGCATAGTTCAGCTGGCACTCCCCAACACTATGCAAGGTAAATCCCCCATTTGTCTATGTCTAAACTCTAAGACTATAGACGAGGACCTCCCTCTACTCTCACCACTTACACTGCTCTCCTCTATTTGAGCATGAACAGTGCTTCGAGTGTAGGGATAGAGATACTAGTTCAAAGCTCCATACAGTTATACAGAACAACAACAACACCCCACACGTCACTTTCAATCATCTCACCCTGAGATGTCCAATTCACACTCAATTTCATCATTTCAATTTGCAGTCACATTATTTCAAGCCACACATTTCAAATATATGGACATACATACATCATGGCAATCAAACAACATCAAACAGCTCAAACAGATGTGGAAAAATATGAAACTCACTGAACCAGGTCTCACAACGCACCAAGATGCAAGGAAAGACAGCAAAAATTCGCACAACGCACCTCCCTTGATGCGTTGAGCGAATTTTCCTGACGAGGGGAGTATTTTTCAGCTAAAATTCGCATAGTGCACCCCCGTTGATGCGCTGGGCGAATTTTCCTGACAAGAGGACAACTAAAATTCGCATAACGCACCCTAGTTCGCATAGCGCACCCAGGTCGCTATGCGAGAACCCAAACAGAGACCAACCTCCCCAAAGCTCTCGCTATGCACCCCACTCGCTCTTCGAATTAAATGGGTAGTGATCTCAGACCACCACCAGTCGCATAGCGACAGGATTCGCCATGGCGAGTCCATAAACAGTGAGCATCACCCTCTGGTAATTCGCACAGCGCACCAACTCGCACAACGAATTACCAAGACAGTGAGCACCCTCTACAGGGTCTCGCTATGCGAGACAACTCGCATAGCGACACTGCATAATCTGCAGAACGTGAATTCTGCAGAATCACACACTCACACTAATCCTTACCATTTTCAATTATTTTTCCCAACTTCTAACCCTCCTAACTCTTGTATCACACCTAATTAAACTTCTCTAGATGATTATAAACGTTCTTAGTATGATTCTAAAGTGATTACTACCAGGTTTTCAACTTAAATTTCCAAGTTCATTAACCCAATGACCCAATTTTGATTCTACCATTTTAAACATGACTTTACTCAGTTTTATGACCCTAACCTGTTCTAATTGACTCATACAAGCTAGCCACACTGTTCAATTGCACTCAAGACCACCTATGCTCAAACTCCCTACCTCAGTTCCTCTCAAAGGACCAAAAACAATACTCTTTTAACCTTTTACTCATCTAACATGACTAACACATGATTTCCACCTCAACCACATCTCCCAAACCCAATTGGTCATAGGAGAAGAATCAGATGTCTGAACGCATCAGTCTCACCTTCGACGCCAGCGCATATGACTAGTCACAACTGACTGGACCAGGCTAGGGCTGCTCTATGATCATGGATGTGCCAACTTAGGTTTTTAAGATTCTTCTGTCCTACCAACAAAGTGCTCTCAACAAGTCACAATTGATCCCTCCAAACTGTTTCAACACTGTAAACTCACCCTAGACCTCTGTCACTCAAAATCACTATGTCACTTCCCTTAAATTGACCCTTAGAGGCTACCAAATTGTTAAACCGCTTCTTTGATTACTACTACAATAGAGCCTCATCCCTAACCACTTCCCATACGTTAAATATACAACAACTAATTCCCCACCAGTCACATTCATAAATTCCACAGTTCAATCTCACCAATTGCACATTTCAGTTCATGCCATCCAATCAACTCAAAAATGAAACACACAGCTCAAAGCAGTACAACATTCCAGAGTACAACATACCTACATTTATCAAACAGATTCAAGCATTCCATTCAAAGATAAATAAATAAATAAATATGTTACTATTTTTTTGAAAAAATTTATTTATATGAAGATAATAACTGTGACGCACGTGTCTTGTATAATACACTTGATTTATATATATATATATATATATATATATATAT